TGAGAGGATTCTAAATTTCTAATGGTGTAAAGATCAGATCACTGAGCAGAAAGTTATGGTTTGGCACTGTAGAATTCACAGCTTGACTTCAGTTTCGAGATTTTGAGTTTGATCATTTGATGCCCTTTTGCCATGGCCCAATCATTCTCATTACAAGCATACGCTGTCGTTTAAGTTAAAGTACTAGGGGCAAAACAGGAAATTCATCAAAATAAAGAAATGTGATCCTAGTATGAAGCCAAATCCTTGATCCTTAGTGACAATCAAGAACTGCTTTTTTTTTCCCCTCTTCAATCTTCAGCCTCTCATCTTCACCCTTCTCCTAGACTCCACGGCGTATATCCGAAGAGTTTCGGAAAAAAAATACTAATACCCAAATACGCAAATTTCCTAAAAAACTCGCTTTCCAGATCTTTACTGCGAACCTACTTTTCACTACTATTCAGGTTATGCTCACCTTTATGTATAATAATGTGGCCCTTTTTTCAGTGTTTTGATTATTGATCAGGCCTTTTGCTTATTGGGGTTTGTCTTGAAAAAAGTTGGTTGCTTTGTGTAAGTTGAAGATCTGTTTCGAGTTTCGTTATGTTAAGCTGCTTTTATTTGGTTTTGAAAAATAAATGTTTTGTTTTATTGTTTTTCACTTGTTTTTATCTATGATCAATATAGATTTACGGGAATTTAGTTTTTTCTTATGATATTGGTTTTTTTTTTTCTATGGTTTTTTGTGGAAGTATAGATTTCAGTGGTATCTTACACGAAAATTGGATTTCTTAGCTGACAGAGAAACTCAAGATTTTGTGATTTTTCGGTAGGATTGAGATTATTAATGTGTTCTTTCATATTCACTCAATAAAGTAATTTCTTTATGAATTTGACTCCATAATGAAGCTCGAGGGATATTTACTAATTATATATGTAATTACTTGTTTGGAACTTTTTTTGCTGTTACTGTGGAGTCGTGTTTATGTTGTCAATGATGTAAATGTATAGAATTAGAGATGGCATGTTTTGGCTTTGCCTTCGGATGAATATGCATTTTGTTAAAGGACATTTATAATAGTTTCTGATCTTGGTCTTTGTTTTTGTTTTTGTGTAATCTGAAACTTTTAGCCGTTTATGAGTTGTTACAGCAATTTAATTGCACCGCCTGTAACACTTAATTAAGTCAGCCGTGTTGCTTTATTCACTGGTTTAGTTAACAACTCTAACAATTTATTGGGCCCAATTACGTAATGTTATTGACTGCATTTTAATTTATTTACCTTGTATCCATCTTTGACGCGCTACTTATTAGCTGTTTCGCAACATCTTCAACTAAATTTTTGGTAGTAGTTCATCACATTGTTATTCTTTTAGCACCTTCAGCTTTGAAATGCATGTTCTAAGGATCTAAAACAATATTAGACCTTGTTAAATATTTTGCTCAATGTGAGTGTGATCAGTCATACAATATGAGGTACTTGTGGATCAATGCATTCTGTTTTTTTGTCCTCTTGAATTTTGCTTATGATTTCCATTAAAACCTTACTTGTTGAGCTGATAGTCTGTTGAGAATTGCCCTTGTTAAGCTATATTTTTATTTGTTTCTTTTTGTAGTCATAGCTGGAATGGCATCCGAAGGCTCTCAATTTGATGCTAAACAGTATGATAACAAAATGAATGACTTGTAAGTTCCATTTTATTCATAAGTTCACTGACAATTTTGGCTTGAGAACATAGTTAGATTTTGCCATTTCTTAATTTGGGCTTGTAGCATTTTTGATGAGGATTGACTATCACGGGACAGTGTAAAAAAGAAAAATAAGCTAAAAATCCTAACTGTCGAGTTGTGCATATCGAACATGCATGCACTTAGGGTCTAAGATCAGGTTTTCTCTATGCTATTTTCCCCTGGTGAATTGATAATGAAGTCTTTTTTGATTTTTCTTAATTTATGGGCACAGGCTTGGAACTGATGGAGAGGAATTCTTCACAAGTTATGATGAGGTGCACGAAAGTTTTGATGCTATGGGCTTACAAGAGAATCTTCTAAGGGGCATATATGCTTACGGTAGACTGTCACTATTATTTTAGGCAGGGCTATAGGAGCATTTTTCTATGTACACGATTGCTTTACTTGTTTCTCTCTTAAAGTGATAAAATAATATAATTATTCAATTTCCTGATGAATCGTCTCTTGAATTCACTTCCTATGCTGTCTGGTCCATTTCTCTCACAGTTTCTGGTGGCATTCTGAAGGTTTTGAGAAGCCCTCTGCAATTCAGCAAAGGGGAATTGTTCCCTTTTGCAAGGGGCTTGATGTGATTCAACAAGCACAATCTGGAACTGGGAAAACTGCAACATTCTGCTCTGGAATCCTCCAGCAGCTCGATTATGGGTTAGTCGAATGCCAGGCTTTGGTTCTTGCACCTACTCGTGAACTTGCGCAGCAAATTGAGAAGGTCATGCGAGCACTAGGTGACTATCTTGGGGTTAAGGTTCATGCTTGTGTTGGAGGTACCAGTGTACGTGAAGATCAGCGTATTCTTTCCAGTGGGGTCCATGTTGTAGTAGGTACCCCCGGTCGTGTATTTGACATGTTAAGAAGGCAATCGCTTCGCCCGGACTACATTAAGATGTTTGTGTTGGATGAAGCCGATGAAATGCTTTCAAGAGGTTTTAAGGATCAGGTCTGCTTCTCTAAGTTGATTTTTTTTTTGTTTTCATAATTTACTTTGTGTACTTGTTGTTTACCTTGTTATTGTTATTTGTTTCACCTGCAACATTATATTGCAACTTATTTCTATTGTTGCTCCCCTGCTTTCACTTAATGTTTAACAACCATATAGTTTGAAATTCTCTCTCCTTTGCTGGAATTTTTGTGTGGCATGTGTTTGGAATCATTACCACTTACCAGCCATTTGTCATGGACTTGACTCTTCCAAGCTACCACCCACACTTAGATCCTCGATTCCACTGTGTGCCATCTTGCTCGACTAGGCTCTGATTCTACTTGTTACAGTAAATTGGATAGTGTGTGACAAGTTGCTTGAAACATAATTTAGCCTTGTTCCTTGGAATGCAATATGGTATCAAATGCAGGGTTTTATTCTTTTCAGATATATGATATTTTCCAGCTGCTGCCACCAAAGATTCAAGTAGGTGTATTCTCTGCCACTATGCCACCAGAGGCTCTTGAAATTACAAGGAAGTTTATGAACAAGCCTGTCAGGATTCTCGTAAAACGTGACGAGCTAACCCTCGAAGGTATTAAGCAATTCTATGTCAATGTTGAAAAGGAGGAATGGAAGCTAGAAACCCTCTGTGATCTTTATGAGACCTTGGCCATCACCCAGAGTGTCATTTTTGTTAATACACGACGTAAGGTGGACTGGCTTACGGACAAAATGCGCAGCCGGGATCACACTGTTTCTGCCACTCACGGAGACATGGATCAGAACACGAGAGATATCATTATGCGGGAATTCAGATCTGGTTCTTCACGTGTTCTCATAACCACTGACCTCTTGGCCCGTGGTATAGACGTCCAGCAAGTCTCCCTTGTGATTAATTATGATCTGCCGACTCAACCAGAGAATTACCTTCACCGTATCGGACGTAGTGGGCGGTTTGGAAGAAAGGGTGTTGCTATCAACTTTGTTACAAAAGACGATGATCGTATGCTTTTTGACATACAAAGGTTCTACAATGTCGTAATTGAGGAGCTGCCCGCCAACGTTGCTGATCTCCTGTAAGGTGGTTTTGATTTGCCGAGGTTTAATATTCCTGTTTCAAGTAATTTGTTTTCTTATTTCTTAGGTTGGTTAGACATGCAATGGACTTATGTTTGGGAAATGCAAGTCCCATCATTTGCAGAGGGGACTTCTCGTTTCTTAATTTGTTTTCTGTTCTACAACTCTTTGAAATTTTTGGTTTGTTTTTATATTGTAATTTTGTCCAAATAACTGCAGATTTGGATGTTGTTTGTGTTGCGATATTGTCTCTTAAAAGTTGGGTCCTAATTACTTGATTGTGTGAGTAGGAGATATCAGAAATTGAGGTATGTGAAATAAGATAAAAATATTTATGACTAACATGTTTGTGTATGTTATTTTTTCTTATAAACTAAAGTGTGTTAATTTGAAATTAAGAGGGGGTTATTTTTTTTTGGGGGCGGGGGTGTTTACTTTCAAAATTAATTATTTATTTAATTTTCACTTTTGACCAATAAAAAACTTATTTATTTTACATTGAAAATTTTACTTGCAAGTAAACTTGCTTATAATTAAAATTTTCATAGGAGTTGATGTCTTAACAAAGTATTGTCTTCCCTTTCATTTTTTTTCCTTTTGGGAAAAGTAGGATTGAGCTCCCTAATATTACTATTACTATAGTTTTGAATTCTCTCTTTAAAAATGAGACCTTGGGCTATCAATCTATTTAAATTTATAAATTTAGGTAGCCACAGTCAAAAATTGCTTATGTCTACATTAAAATTGCATCGACTTATGTGACTTAAAATTGGATAGCAAAACTGTCAAAACACTTCATGTTTAACTTTAAGTCACGTGAACGTCCACATTGAAGATTTACGTATAGATCTAAATTCACGCGTTGAAATATGTTGGGGATCGATAACCTCACTTTTGAAAATTAGGGAAAGATCTAATTCACATGTTGAATCGGGTTGGGGACTTTTGAAAGTTAAAAGACTCAAAATCATGCTACCTAAAAGGTTGGGGAGCATATAAGCAAAGATGGATAGATAACCCAAAGTTAAAAGACTCAAAATCATGCTACTTATATCCATGTTCTATTTTATGTTCTTCGTACCAGAAAACAAAGAACAAAAAAGGCAATTATACCATGCTTAGATTAATGCTTTTGTTTGAAAAAGCTTATAGAACGCATCAGATATGCTTTTTCTCCCAAGACCGATACTGGTTGGATGCAACCACAGTCACAGACATCAGAGAACCGACTGATCATCAGTTCATCAAATTGGATAAAATCTTCACCTAATCAAGAGGATATATTACCTTTTCAAGTTCTTCATCCACAGCTTTGGCTATGTCATTCTTCTGTTCAAAAGCAGAATCCACGTCCAATCTTGGCACACTTGCCCTGATAACTATATACACTGATTTAGAGTAAAAACCAAACCTACTGCCCAATAGTTGTATCTAAATTATTGTCATTTACCAGCAACACATAGCTTTTCATATTCATTTGCATCATCAAAACTAGAGGTGTCAAAATGTGCCACCCTGTCCCTAGAGCCAGGCCTGCAGTCTGTTGGGGCTTGAGGAATAATAAAAAGAAAGAGAATTGAAATGATTAATGCTCGCGTGATATACTATTTGTTTCATAGATGTCATCTGTGATTTTTTCCCCACTTTCTTTCATGCCGAATACCAGAAAGCAAAAGAACAAAAATTACGAACCATACCATCAAAAACATATGCTTGGATCTGTGCCTTCGTGTTAGAAAGCTTATAGAAAGCATCAGCTGCCTTTTCTGCCAAGGCTCGGTACTGGATGGATGCAACGACAGTCACAAAGACATTATCAAAACAAATTAAATACAGTGTAAAGCAGACTCTATTTCAAAATTCCATATTTATCCTTATCAACATTTTGGGTCACATACTCTCGACGTCAAGCTTAGTAATTGCACTCAATTTATGAGGGACTGTCCTCCTTCATGAAATTCAACCATTTGAGCTTTCTTCATGCTCCAAGCTCTCAAACTCGAGATTGTAATGCTTTCTGTCCCATAATTAAATGCATAGAGGTGGGATTTGTTCTCAATGGCCAGTTCAGGATGAACTCTAGCAGTGATGCAAGCCTTTCCTTCACCACCAAAACTCTCTAACATGGAATGGTCAATCTGCACAACCATAAAGCATAAATGTATCACTTGACATTACCAAAATTAATGGTTTTCGCAGAAATTTTGCAGACATGGTCTCTGATTTTTGGGGTCATTAGCATTTGGAGTACCAATACTTTTTCAATAGTTTCTGTCCAGAGATTACAAGTAAAACGCTTACGAGGTACTTACCAAGGTTCTTAATGAGATTCTCTGACTAGGATCTACATCAAGAAATGCCCCAAAGATTTTTTTGTCAACATCTCTTTTCAGAGAAGACCTGCATTCAAATATTAGAGAGTTAGAGCTCGAATTCAGACACATCACATGTGAACTATTTTTCCATATACGGTTGGCCTCACGCTTATTTATTTAAATTTAGTGTTCAGATATATAAGCTCGCCTGCTTTGATCACTGCACATTAGGACAACATACTTGTCATGACCTTTGAATATCCGAAAGAAGATGGCAGTTTGTTCGGTTAAGTCCTTCGAAGTCAAGGCTAACAAACCAAATGGCCCTAGTACCCCTTTTACTGATGAATTCTTTTGACTACAAAGTTGTTGGGGATCAACTGATTTTTTATCCATCAGCTCGACACGATCTTCTAAATTTGGCAATTGGAATGAGACTTCTATATCAGCCTGGAAAGAATCAAATCCAATTCTTAAAATTATGATTTTTGTATAAATTGAAAGGACTTTTCTGATACAAAAGTCAGTCGATAACACAAGGCATTCAAGAAGTCGATAAGAGCATTTAAGAAGAGGATTTCAGCATATACCTGTGAAGCTGTTAAGCCTGAAATTTCAAGCACAGTTCCACCCTTTATTTCTTTATTATGTAGAGAGACTTCACTTGCCCGTAGTTTTTCGAGTTCTTTGATTGGGTATTGCACTAACTGCTTCCCTGTTTTGTCTAGCAATACGGTTCTTGGAATTGACTGCCAAAAATCCAAGTATCAGGAAGTTGTCAAAACGAGTGGCAGCGCCAAAGTACAGTCTAGATTCATATTTTCCATCAAACTCTTGCCGTGTGAAATTCGTAAATGGGTGGCCATGAATTATACCATGTTAAGATTTCGAAAAAAAATCAAGAAGCAATTAAATCGCCAGAAATGAAGAAAGAAAAGAAAAGATTAGACATAGATTACCTGAATTCCAGACCATCCTTTCTTGATATCATCCGACTTACTATCAGCCTCGGTTACCCATCCCCACAATATCCTTCTCTTTTTGTCACAGTCATAAAATGTTTTGGAAGCATAGAACATACCATAATCATATCTAAGTTGCCTAATAGTATCCATGAAATCAACATCAACACTATATCTATCCGTTTTCGAATCATAATTTCCTATTACATAGTAGTCGTGATCACTAAAACTTGCCTTTAGGACATGTTTAGTTTTTCGATCATTGAAAGATGAATGGAGCCCTATTCTACGACGACTACTAACAGGGTAAAAATCAGGACACTCCCACATTCCTGTTTTGGTTGACAAATAAAGAGGATTCCGACTCCTGGTCCAGCTAACAAAATCTTTACTTCTATAAAGAATAGCAGCTCCATGGCCATTAATTTGGCTGCCTATAATTACACGCCATATTTTATCCAATCCCTGCCTCCAAAACTGAAATAGGAAAAAAGTAACCTAAGTTAAGTAAAATACAATAATAAAATGACACAAAAACCTAGTAAAATGGCCCCGAATAAGTGCACAAAAATGCACTTATCAATGACCTTTGAATATCCGAAAGAAGATGGCAGTTTGTTTGGTTAAGTCCTTCGAAGTCAAGGCTAACAAACCAAATGGCCCTAGTACCCCTTTTACTGATGAATTCTTTTGACTACAAAGTTGTTGGGGATCAACTGATTTTTTATCTATCAGCTCGACGCGATCTTCTAAATTTGGCAATTGGAATGAGACTTCTATATCAGCCTGGAAAGAATCAAATCCAATTCTTAAAATTGTGATTTTTGTATAAATTGAAAAGACTTTTCTGATACAAAAGTCAGTCGATAACACAAGGCATTCAAGAAGTCGATAAGAGCATTTAAGAAGAGGATTTCAGCATATACCCGTGAAGCTGTTATGCCTGAAATTTCAAGCACAGTTCCACCCTTTATTTCTTTATTATGTAGAGAGACTTCTCTTGGTCGTAGTTTTTCGAGTTCTTTGATTGGGCATTGCACTTACTGCTTCCCTTTTTTGTCTAGCAATACGGTTCTTGGAATTGACTGCCAAAAATCCAAGTATCAGGAAGTTGTCAAAACGAGTGGCAGCGCCAAAGTGCAGTCTAGATTCATATTTTCCATCAAACTCTTGCCGTGTGAAATATTCGTAAATGGGTGGCCATGAATTATACCATGTTAAAATTTCGAAAAAAAATCAAGAAGCAATTAAATCGCCAAAAATGAAGAAAGAAAAGAAAAGATTAGAGATAGATTACCTGAATTCCAGACCATCCTTTCTTGATATCATCTGACTTACTATCAGCCTCGGTTACCCATCCCCACAATATCCTTCTCTTTTTGTCACAGTCATAAAATGTTTTGGAAGCATAGAACATACCATAATCATATCTAAGTTGCCTAATACTATCCATGAAATCAACATCAACACTATATCTATCCGTTTTTGAATCATAATTTCCTATTACATAGTAGTCGTGATCACTAAAACTCGCTTTTAGGACATGTTTAGTTTTTCGATCATTGAAAGATGAATGGAGCCCTATTCTACGACGACTACTAACAGGGTAAAAATCAGGACACTCCCACATTCCTGTTTTGGTTGACAAATGAAGAGGATTCCGACTCCTGGTCCAGCTAACAAAATCTTTACTTCTATAAAGAATAGCAGCTCCATGCCATTAATTTGGCTGCCTATAATTACCGCGGTATAAAATAGGTTAGGGACGGACGCAGTTGTAGGATCTCTATACATATCTGGCTTTATGTCATTAACTGAAGTCATCATCGGATTCATGCCATTAACCGGAGCCATCACAGGATTACGGTCCGATTTTACCCATTCTCTAAGCAGTGGATCAGACATATTTTTAGGCACTGCCAGATTTTGAACCTGGTGGTTTTCAAAGTTATTTCCAGTGTATAGAATGACAGGTTTTTCGACCCCAGGAAAAATTGTAGCAGAACCAGAAAAGCAGCCATTAATGTCATAAGACTCTGTTGGATTAATAGCATTATCAAGATGCATCCAATCAATAAGATTATACGATACAGAATGTGCCCATGAAATATTTCCCCATACTACAGCATAGGGGTTGTACTGATAGAACAGATGGTAAACTCCCTTATGGTACATTGGCCCTGTGTGACATAATTGTCAATTGAAATCATAACAGTAATATGGACAAATATTTTTCATCCGATTAATTTCAATATAAGGTTTTGTTAAGAATTTTCTTTCGTCACTTCATTGTGCAAATTACATCTACTAAAATGATATAAAAATTTATCAGAAAGGGGCACTTTACCATTTGGGTCTTCAAATTCATTGATAAGCAATCACAGTTTCAGCCCCATTGAAGAAACAAGAAAACTAATCCGTATCAGAAATATTAATACATACAAGTGAAAAAAAAATTCTAACAAAATATACCATTCATCCAGTTTTTGGGAGGTTGAAAATGGTATGCAGTCCTGTAAGGCTGAGAAGCTCCAGCTTTATTTCCATGGACGAAGAAAATAATGTGCAGCAAAAATATCCAATACACAGATCTCTTCATCTTTGGCTTTACTTTAGAAAGGAATGGATTTGAGGCAATAAAGCATACCTGGAACAGAATTATTTTTCAATTACATAAATGGGTCATAAAGAATAAAAAATTGCTTGATGATAAATATTTATAATTTAAACACTCGACGGAAAAGGGTTAATTTTACTTTATATTAAAACGTGCTCTTATTTTTAATTTTGATCCTATGAATTCACGTACGAATCTTGCTTTGGATCTCAAGAAAATTGAAGCATCATCTTCGGTGTATGTATAAAATTTTATCAAAAATCAACCAACAGAAATTTAAATAGTTCGAACCTTAAGTACAAGTGTGAAACCTTAACGGGAAATTATATTCACACTTGTACGCTAAAGAATTTTTTTTTATTGAAGTGGGTCCCACCCCCATGTGGGGGGTGGGGGGAGGTGTAATCCCTTTGATATATCTTTTGATGTACCACTAGCATTATTCATATTTTATGAGACTTACAACTTTTCAATCACACATTTTATCAATTTTTGTCAAAATTTACTAAAAATATAACTTTAATCCCCACCCGATAAGAACATATATATTACTAAGATTTTCCCTTGATCCGCTGAGACATACATTTTCATATACTTTGAGACAAGACATATTAAGTCCAACCAGTAACATCATGCTTGTATGAGAGGGCTATTTTACATGTATACCATCTTTTAGTTTTGAGTAGGGATGGCGATAAAATTCGATTAACTTGAGACCCGCAGAGTCTTGACCTAAACAGGACAAAAATTTCTTACTTCGTGGGTTGGTATCTACCGCGGCGCCCCAACCTCTCTGTTTAGCATTTTAATTTAAAAAGAAAGATTAAATTTCAAAGACAACATATGTATACAAGTGCTACATCCTGTGTTGTGTTTTTACATGTGTGTTATGTTGTATACATACATTGGTATTTATAAGAAAATAGATGATGTTACATCACATCTATTTCTTAAGGAAAATTCTATTTACACATAATTTTCATCCATAATAGTAAACATAATACTCACATGGGGTGGGACCCACTTTTGAATGAATCCCACCCCACGTGAGTATTATGTGAACGTACCCTTAGCACTTCTCATTTCTTAAAGGTGTTCTTTGAAAAAGTGAACAAAACTGTACTTTTTTACAGGCGTATGACTTAAAATTAAAATTACAAAAGATCTTTTGAGAAAATTTTCTTCACGTTTTTCTTTTCCAACTTCCTTCACCGTGTCTTTAATAATTGTCCTTTAAATAATGTTCACTGTCCTTGCGTCTTTACTCCATTGATTATTATCTTCGAATTACTGCACTGAGTTCACCTTTCTATCATCTCGATGTATGATTCTTCTAGATCAATATATATAATATTAAACGGTATATTTGAGTACCCAATCCTAAACCCGTCCCATCTCCAGTAATATATCTCTAGTATACAAATGACAGCAAAAAATTGGACTGATAACATAATTGTAAAATCTGCTGCTTTGATAATATTCGAAAAACTGTAAATGGGACCTAATTTGTCTAAAACAACATGATTACACGATAAGCAATGAGCACCAGTATATACGTGCATTATAAGAACTTAAAGTACAGCTTGCAAATGGCTTCAATGTACATCAAGGTTCGTACCATATCAGGCTTCCCTGAATCAGGTATTTCCCGGGAAGGCTTCCAGCAGATGGTGCAAGGTACGTAATTTTCTTGCTGCGCGTCATATAAGAGCAAAGATTAATAATATTATCAGCTCAAGTACGAAAATTGTTTCACTAATAGAAGAGTTTAAATTCGAACCTTTCAAAGTCAATGTCAGTGATCCAGATGAACCCGGCAACATTACTGGCAAAAAAATGGAAAAGGTTATGAGAGAATTATTCGACAAAACAGACTCCTCTGTTTTGTAATACGCAGGAAAATTATGTAAATGAGGTCTGTAATCAAACAGTTAATTAATTTGCTGCACAAAAAAGAGCACTTTGGAATTTGTTGGCATTAACCAAGCATTTTTTGGTTTATCTCAGCAACGACAGATACGACCTTGGCGGGTGGTTCCATTCGAAGTATTGGAGATGAGGTCAAAGTAGTTACCAGTAACACGGGGAAAGATAAAAGGGAAAAAACCATGCTCATCTGTAATGATTGAATCCAGTCTTCAGCATAACCCCCTCACATATATAGACTGAATTCAAGTTTTAGTCTTCAAGTTCTATAGCCGCCCATTTATGAATTTTTTGTACAAGTGAGACCATTGATAAAAAATGAATCCAACTTGCACATTGGAAGGCATGTTGAAGACTAATCTAAATATATAAATGGGTCCTCTCTAACAACTTTTGAGCTTTTAGACGAAGTGGTTTAACATAATGGCTAATGTGTTGTTTGTCACTACACTGATAGAAAACAAGCTCGTATTTGACCATTTAAAAAGGAAACTTTGAAACTGACAATACCTTGAAATAATTTCATCTGGTTCTTTGGCAAATGAGACAGCTAGGACTGAATGGAGCAAGTCTCGGTTAATATTAACAGAGGTCAATCTCGTAGGGTCTGCAGCCGGCTCTGCACCAATTGGCAGAGCTGAACGTGGGGCCTGTGGTCCTCCACCTATTCGGTAGATGCATAAGTCATTGAAATTCGCAACATTAGAATGTGGAGAAAGATCATTCGAAAGGCCATAGAAATATTCCTGCAATGAAAACAAATCAAAAGACTCTTCTTTATGTGTCAAAGGAACAACAAAACATATGTTTAAAAGTAACATACTTTTGTGAAAAGGCATTACAATCATGGAATTAAGGACATGTTTGGGTGGGGCTTATAAGATGCTTTTCCTCTCTATCTCATAAATAACTATAGATCGCCATGTGCTACTTTGGACACATGAATCTCATTTTTTTATTAAATCTTAACTTTATTTTTGGAAAGGAAATAAAACACGTGCTACTAATATATGGAAATTTGAAAAGAGCATGTATGTCTTAGCTTAAAAAATTCTTCGATTTTACTTTGAAGTATAGAAGTAAAAGTAAGTTTTAATACAAGCAATTCTTTTATTAATCAAAATTAGGAATATGTAAGTTACTTATTTTGACGATAATAGTAACATACTAATATAAGAGTTACTTTTAAATAACTCTTATTTTCTCCAATATGTATATGTATACAGAAAAAGTATCGCATCCACGTCTGTCAAACATTTAGATTTTTCTTATTTTTAAGCTTATCCAAACATGCTCACCATCATGAAAGTGTTTGCATTACCCGTATTCTATGGGACCTGGCCTTCTGACGGAATTTTGCATTTCTCGACACAACACCACCAGACTTTTGAAGTTTCACTACATCCACATTAGCCTTGTTTTTCAAAACATCTTTTAGCATGCTGCAAAGCTTTTCCTACACAACGTCCGTGCATATAAAAATGGAAAGTAGATCAACGTTCTACTTTTAAAGAGGCACCCAGAACGCAAATAATTTATGATGAATAGATTTGAAGCTCGACAGATATAAGGATGCCCGTGAATCGCCCTTAAAATGGGGAAATAAGGAAGAAAGCCAAGTTCCTCCGATTTGTAGGAAGGAGAGGGACAGTTTCATAACTACCTCTTAATTTCAGCTAAAAAGCGTTAAGCCTCCATTTGGGAAGAATTTATAAACAGTTTAATTTATAAATAAATAGAAATGAATCGTGGATAAGTACATAGTATTTGTAGATCCATTGGAATCTGTGGTTGAAATTGAAGTTTGACCATTTATAAATGATTTATAAATTTTGCCAAATGGAAGCTAAATTAAAAGGTCAAGTTCAAAAAAACTGTAACTTTCTTCATTTCCTCTATAAAGTTTTCCAAGGAAATCTGCTTGCACAAACCAGAAGTACATAGAAGGATATTCACTTTTCAAAACTATCAGGCTAGGATTGGGATTGTAACTTGCCAAGGTAAAATGTGAAAGCAGTAGTTGCTTTAACATCTTTAAATGCTGAGTTCTCTACAAGTGACTGAATCATGGGATGGATGGAGAACTGTGTATTACAGGATGATGCAGAGAGAATTTATTAAGGCTATATTTAAATAATCTATAAATCAGCAAAAATAGCAGAAACTTGCATATCAACAGTGAAAGTTATTAGAGATAAAAAAGCAAATGGGAAAAGCGAAATGCATGCTCTTGGGGAGAATATATTCACCATAAATCATGTCCCTAGGTCATTACACCAAAGCAGCATAAATGATCTCGGTCCCCACCCCCCTTCTCTCCTGATGGTGCAGGGGGTGGAAATATAAGGGCTCATCCCATTTACAACAAACTAACATTGTAGGGGTCCTCCAAGGCATGCTATTAGTTTTAAACAGTAAAAGCTGAAAATATATAACAATTCCAACATATCAAACAAAGAAAAAATTCAATATGATGACGTTGGTATCATCATATTCTTTGATGAACATAGAGGATTCAACTTCATATCCAGAAACAGAAAAAAGACCATACCTGGCCCAGAACAAGAATAACATTTGCATTAAATGTATCAATTGCATGGAGCAGCAACTGCCAAAAATGAGGATAAAATATTAGAAAACATAGTTTACATTTTATCTGTGGGATGAACTTCATATTTAATTCATCAAAAAAGTTTGCAGTGATACAAAATCAAGAAGTCAGATACCTCGTAACCAATGTTTTCTATCCATCCCATGGTATTTATCACCATGCCTGCAGCTCGAGATTCAGCATTTCCGGCAAACTGTCTCTCCAAAATTTGAGCAAGCTCCTTCACAAGTACTTTGTAAAGATCAACATTAACACTGAAACACCAAATTCGAAATAGAGGAAATAGAAATCAGAAATTGCCTGATTATTGATAGAAATGTAGGAACTAGATCAATATGAGTAATTGCCAAGCACAATGAAGTATGCAATAAAAGAGCGAAGGTAAATTTCTTTAATAAAGAACCAATAAAAAATGCTTGTCAATTACCTAGGAGTCGTGTGCCCATGGAAGTAAACTAGAGGCATATCAAGAGGTATTCCTTCCACTGGATCAATGGGCAGTTCAATTGGAGTTGCAGCGATGCAACCAGGAATAGTTATAGATCCTTGACCAATGTCTAAATCTACAAAAGTAGGTTTCCATCCCTGTTTAGCTGCCCAACTAAGAAGCATCCTTGACAAGGTACTCTTTCCAGAATCCGTAGGTCCCACAACAATAACCCGAGGCCCCTGGATAAATAGACTGGAATAAATACTTATTTTACAGACCCAAGTGCCTGCATCAGTTTTAAAGTTTGCATAGTGTTGAACTTAGCACGAAAACTTGGGCAGTAAGAATAATTGATCATAATAGAGAGAATTATAGAGAAATATAAAATCTTTTAGAATGCAAGGCTGCAGAACATCATGCTAGATGGCTAATTACAGCATCAGTAAACAAATGCCACTTAAGAGAGCACTGCCCTCGTTCTGTAGAGATGTTGGTAATATGAAAACGTGCATCTGGAAATTGTGTTTCAAGCACAAACAAATGCATTTGGTATGGGGAAGGATCATATCACATTCTCTGATGATACACTCATAGAGGGGGAGGAATTAGGTGCCCTAATTTTCCCATGTAATTTCCCCTTATCTTAAAGTAAGAAAACAATCAGTCAATCAGATAATGGAAACTAATCTCAAGGGGTAATATCAAGAAATGACATGGTATGAAAGTATATTGTGATGGGAACTGCTGGTTTGGCATTGTTAATATAATGTCAAACCTACTATTATCCACACATTTCATTTCATAGGACTCACAAGTACTGCCTACTTACCCACTGCTCAATTCTATATCTTTTTAAACCATTCCCAACATGCTATAAATGTTTGAAATAGGCACCAAAAAGAGCTAATTCTCCCAGTTATATTACCATAAGCTTAGCTGAAAGTTTTACATATCCATATACAAGAAAATACTGGTAATCCAACTAAGATCAATATGTTTTCGACAGCTTCATTTAATCAATTAAAAAGATATGTAAAAGTACAGGAATTGAAATAGACAAAAGAAAAATTGTAATTGAACTGTCCTAAAAGATGATACTGATAATCAATAAAAATG